ATGATTTTATAAAACTATACTCATAATATATGCACAATTTTTTTCAATATGGTCTTTTCAAATACCAATCTACAGTATTGTGAATACTTGAAGTTTCTACTTTAACTCTGAAAAGACTTCCCAGAGAAAATGCTATCAAATGCTATTTGCCCGCATGACTGGTACCCCCGGTGTTTTTCTCTGAGTGGATGGGAGTTGAACATTACACTCATCCCCCTTAGAATCCTTAATTTTTTTCAAATCTCACAAGGTTGATGGACTCAGATGTGGTGGTTATCTTCCTGTGCCAACAGTGAATGCTTCAGGCAGAAAAAGCAGACCAGTTGGAAAAAAGGAAGTCTTTGTTTACCCAAATGTGTTTTTAATTATAGTATTAACAAAGATAAAGCAAAACCAGGGAAGCGCAAAATAATCACACGGGAGCCTGATTTGAATGAAGTCTATTTACTTATTCTAAACCTATTGTTTCTCCAAATATTGGACCTTTTTTCTCTTTACTAGTATTTCTGTAAGAAACCCCAAATTAAATGTTCCTTTGCTTTAGCCACTAAGTAATTATACAGGGAGAAAAATGACCAAATATAAAATAAATCATGTTGGCATTTAAAGATTAAAATGAAGACACAGCTTGATCAAAGAGATTTATTTGTTGATATTTGTTCATCATTATGAATATTTCAAATCTTATGTAGTCAAAAGTGATCCATTACTGTTTCCCAGGAAGTGATAATACCCCCTCCAGTGTCATTAACAATGTTAATCTTGGTCAAGGTTCCCGCCATGAAAAATGTATAAAAGCAGTGTTGCTATGGTAACTATTCTAGATCAGTGTTTCCCAGCCCTTACCATTCACTTATATCGGCATAGTATCATGGGCAAGATGTCCTATACTTACATGGATACATATGTACATATACAAGTATACAATAGGCTCCCCTCCCCTTTCACAGAGAACTTTTTTCTTAAATAAATAACACTGAGACATACATGAAATGAGCTCCATTAATAGGGAAGCCATTTGTTCCTCTATAGCTTCTTGTGCCTTTCCTTAGGGCACGTGCATGCTTCATCTGAATAATCAAACAATTTCTTTCTGTTACCCCGTGAGCACTCGTGTGGGGCCTTTCCCTTTAGCCCCACCCCATTTCCTCTACTTGATTAATGTGTGCATCAGAGATCTTTCCATTGGAAGCAACCGAGATGCACTCAAGCTGGTTTAGACGGAAAGAGGCATTCACGGGAAGCACACGGGTGTTTCACGACCCTTACGGAGGCAGCCCCAGGAAGAGCTAGGACCAGACATCAAAGACCATCCAGCTGAGTGCAGGTTCTCTCTGGGGCCTCGTGCTCTCTCCTCATCTGCACTTCTTTCTTTCTCCCTTCTCCTGGCACACTGGCTACTGGGGGAAATGGCCACTCCCCAATGCCTTCTCTGCCCCCAGTCTGCATGCTCATTGCAAATTCTTAAACTGTGGCCTTAGGGGTGGGAAGGAGGTGTCCATTAGCCTTCCATTACTGGAACAAGGGATGGAGAAGACTCAGGAAAGAGATGGAGGGAAGGCATGAAACTGAAAAATATTTTGGTAATAAATATTTCTGACACTTGCAGAACCTGAAATAAGAAAGTAGAGCTCACCTACATATTTCTAACTTGCCGCATTTCTCTTTGTCTGCCCCAATATATCAAAATTAGCCAGCTTTTTAAAAACCTTCTGGGGGGCATAAGCAATGTATCTAGCTCAAGTCCTTTGGGAAATGAGGAGGGTACCAATTCTAAGTAAATAAATAAATAAGCGTCCTTCCTGGCACAATAGAGTGTTAGGGGAGGATAACAGCAATGCCAGAGGGGGCATCTCAGTCTGTGGCCCTCACTAGACCACACCTCACAGGATTAAGAAGAGTGGGAGGAAGGCCCTGGCTGGGTGGTTCAGGTGGTTGAAGTGTCATCCCATGCATACCAAAATGTTGCAGGTTTGATTCCGGGTTGGAGTGAGTATAGGAGGCAACCGATTCTCTCTCTCTCTCTCTCTCTCTCTCTCTCTCTCTCTACACACACACACACACACACACACACACACACACACACACACACTAGAGGCCCGGTGCATGAATTTGTGCACAGGTGGGGGGTCCCTCAGGGTAGCCTGTGGAAATTGGGCCCCAGCTCATGCCCACAGCCTCGCAGCCCCAGCTCGCGCTCCCAACCCCACAGCCCCGCCTGGCACCCCACCTTGCCTGGCGCTGCCCCCTCACCTGTTCCACCATCCCGCCTGCGTGGCGATCGATGGAGGCTGGGACCCTGCCCAACGCTCTCAGCGCCTGGGAGCCGGGCGGCCCTGCCCGCCACTGCCGCTGGTCACTGTCTGTGGGGCGATCGGTGGGGTGATCGAGCCCCCACTTGCACTCGCCTTGGCCTGGCTCCGCCTGCTCACCTGCTCCACCATCCCACCGTAGTCCCGCTCTCGTGGGGGCCCATCAGGGCCAGCAGTGCCTCCACTGCCTCCCGCTGCCAGTGCTGCATTGCTGCACCCACCATGTTCCATGCTACCCCCTGGTGGTTAGTGCACGTCATAGTGAGCAGTCTCTTGGTCAAACGACCGCCCAAGGGGACAATTTGCATATTAGGCTTTTATTATATAGGAGATATATATATATATATATATATATATATATATATAGAGATATAGAGAGAGAGAGAGAGAGAGAGAGAGAGAGAGAGAGACACTAGAGGCCCGATGATCGAAATTTGTGCAAACATAGGCCCTTGTGGCCCGGCTGCCCCACCCCCCACCCACTGGTCATTCAGGAAGGTCATTCTGGAAGGTCGTTCTGCCGTCTATCTAATTAGCATATTAGCTCTTTATTATATAGGAGATATATATATATATATATCATTAAACATATCCTCAGGTGAGAAAGTTGGAGAAGGTAACAGATTCGTGCACTCCCCTGAGAGTAAACACTGGAATGCTTTTTTACAGGTAGAGTCCTAGGGGTCTTAAGAGTCTTTTATAGGTGACATTACAGGTGGAGAGCCCAGCAAATCCAAAGTTTTATTTGTTCAGCAGTTTAATAATCAATGGAGAATCTTCTGAGTTGGAAGATCAGATTCAGGTCTTGTAAAAAGTTTACTGCCTAAATTCCTCGTGGGAAAGTACAGAAGGCCAGAAAGGGCAAGTTAAAGCAGGGCAAGGAAGGGAGTATTTTAACTCTGTTTCCATGAGGCCATCCCAACTTCTACCCTGCTTTGCAGGGACTCAAAATGTTAAATATGTGGTTAACAAATTGGGCCAGAGCCCTAACTGGTTTGGCTCAGTGGATAGAGTGTCAGCCTGCGGACAGAAGGGTCCCAGGTTCGATTCTGGTCAAGGGCATGTACCTTGGTTGCGGGCATATCCCCAGTAGGGGGTGTGCAGGAGGCAGCTGACCAATGTTTCTCTCTCATTGAAGTTTCTAACTCTCTGTCCCTCTACCTTCCTCTCTGTAAAAAATCAATAAAATATATTTTAAAAAAAATTGGGGCCAGAGGCCTGAGGACCCAATAGTTCTCACATCACAGCCACTGTCATTAATTCTTTGTGGGTAGGTTGGGGGGGTGGGCGCTGGCCTTCAGCAAAAGCAAGCAGTAAAAGCCATTTAGCTCAGCCATCCCACAGTCTTCCCTTTATTCTAATGTTTCCCTCCCTTCTTGCCACCCCTTCCCAAAACCTTCAAGAAATAATTATAGTCATTAGCAATTTAGGGTGAATAGATGTTATCTCTTCAAAGGATATTTCCATTTTAATCTTATAAAGGTCTCCCAGGCTGTTAAAGAAATTTTAAGAATATATTTAAGAATATGTAGCAATCCTTTCCTTTTTAAAATATTAGTCAGATCCTGGTAAAATCAACTTAGTTCCATCCAAAGTTGAGATTCAACCAGCGCTCACTCGTTCTCTCTGTTACTATAGTTTCAGCTTCCTTCTATACCAGGTGGCCAGTCTCAGAGCCCACCTTCACCCTATTCCAGTGTCACTCTCCGGCTCCTCTCTGGGACCTTCTGGAGCTCCACAGGATCCAGAAACTAAAGGGTCAACCTTGGTGCACCTGGGCCTCCCTGGCCCCTGTGTTCCCAGCTGTGCTCAGCATCCAGTCTGACTGGTTATGGGCAACCATCCTGGTTGTGAAAAGTTTTGAATATCACTCCTGCTTCTACCTCTTTAGGTGTACTTTTCATTGTTTATCGACTCTCCCTTCCTCTCTGAAATATATATACATATATATATATATATATATATATATAGAGAGAGAGAGAGAGAGAGAGAGAGAGAGAGAGAGGAGAGAATCAACTAATACCTTCATAAATAAGCAGAACAAAAATTGATGGTTCTCTCTTTCCTCCCTCCCTTACTGCCACTCTCCCTCTCTCTTTCTCTTTACAAATTAAGGCACCTCCCTTCCCCTCCTCCTAAGTCAACAACCATCACACCAAATTGAAAACTTTCCTAAAATATTTTCCCGCTAGTACCTTCAAACAAGGGTTGAAAAAAATGAATTGCTGAATAGTAAACTCTGGGAAAATATGGTTAGGGGAGAAAAAAATATATAACTAGGTTTGAGGTTCTTAAACTTCATTATGCCTAACAGTCACCTGAAGAACATATTTAAAATGCAGATTTCTAGGCTTCTTCTTCAGACATTCTCCTTCTGTAGATCTGGGATGGTTCCGGTATCTGTATTTTTAACTTGCATCCCAGGTCAATCTGATGCCCATGTTCCCTGAATGACACTGAAGAAACAGTGACCTTGACTGCTGCTGTGAATTATGCACGGTGGCTGTGGATAGGACATTCTTCACCAGGAGCTTAGGGTTCCAGGATTTTACAGGCACTCACCTTTCTTCAGTTGTACAGCTTTAACTACAGGGGATTCTGATGCAAGTTTCCTGGTCCATTTTCATTGATTGGTGCTCCCTTCTTGCCGACCTTTGATAAACACTCTCTTTTGTTTTGAAATTACAGAGTCTGTCATCCCGAGTAGTGGAACATTTCATGTAAAGCTCCCTAAAAAGCACAACGTGGAACTTGGAATAACCATAAGTTGTAAGTAGAAGTGATTTCTTTTAAAATGTGGTCGCTAAAAATTACACTAGAAAATTGTATTGTCAAACGGTTTACAGGTGTGGCAAACGTTTTAAGTGTCATTGACAAGTTTCTACATAATGATACAAAAATGTGGAGCCAATCCCACCTCCAACACTTACAAGCTGTGTCAATGGGCAAGTTGCTGTAATACTCTCCAATCTTATGTTTCTTCATCTGTAAGATGAAAATGATATCTATAAAATACAGAGTTATATTAAATAAAATAACACATTTATATACCTAGTGTGGTCCCTGGCAAGTAATAAGTGCTCAATAAATGTGTCTCTTACCATCCTCCATTAATAACTAGGTGAGCATATAAATGCATATAGGTTCTCTACATTTCAATATATTATGGATTTAGTTTTCACAGTCATCTATTTAACTAACAAAAATTACATTTATTTACTTTTAAGACCATTTTCCCATCTGGTCACTGTGCGTCTAAAATCTATTTTTTTAAATATATTTTATTGGTTTTTTACAGAGAGGAAGGGAGAGAGAGTTAGAAACATCGACGAGAGAGAAACATCGATCAGCTGCCTCCTGCACACCCCAAACTGGGGATGTGCCCGCAACCAAGGTACATGCCCTTGACCGGAATCGAACCTGGGACCTTTCAGTCCGCAGGCTGACGCTCTATCCACTGAGCCAAATCGGTTAGGGCTAAAATCTATTTTGCAAGACTAAAACAGTGTTTACTTTAGTAACTTCCTGAACTCCTCCATGATACAAGGTGTCTGAGTAACCAAATCACAAAGAAAAAGAAAACATAGCCCAGACAGCATGGCTCAGTGGTTGAGCATTGACCTATGAACCGAGAAGTCAGGGTTTGATTTCCGCTCAAGGCACATGCCTGGGTTGCGGGTTCCATCCCTAATGTGGGGCGTTTAGGAGGTAGTCGGTCAATGATTCACTTTCATCATTGATGCTTCTATCTCTCTCTCCCTCTCCCTTCCTCTCTGAAATATATATATGTGTGTGTGTATGTGTATGTGTGTGTGTGTGTGTGTGTGTGTGTGTGTGTGTGTGTATATATATATATATATATATATATATATATATATATATAAATGTATTTCATTCCCTCCTCTTATCAGGCTCTAGATTTATAACTGCTTTGGTAAAATAACTTTGAAAATTTCAGCCCCAATGGAGTTTTATAGAATGGAAATTGAGGTTTTACTGCTTTTAATATCCATAAACTATATCCATAAATGTCCCCTCCCCCCAGGAAATGAAGCAAATGATTAATGCATAAAGACCAAAGGAGACAGAGGCAATGTCTGTGACCGAGGGGTGGTCCCTTCAAGAAAGAGTGATGAGGTTCCATGAAAGTGCCTCATTACACTCTGCTGCATAGCATTTATGTCAGTGGTTCTGGCAAAAATAAAGAGATCTCAATTGGACAGTATGAAACGGGGGCTGTCCAGTTCAACATTGACCATATAAATTTAACACTGAAAATGAAATGTTATTTATAACTAATAAATTGCACACACCAGTATAATACAATATGCATAAGAGAGAATCTGTACCCGCCCACCCCCTCCACCACCACCACCACCACCACCAAACCTCAGTGTGATTTACTGGAGAAAAGTAGGGTTGAAGTGTCTGATGTGCCTCTATACCATAAATAGAAAGGTGAAATGGAATTTTGGCAACTCCAGACCTATTCTAGGTCCTTAAAGTCATATATGCCTTTAATTGAGTCACTTAACCTCTCAGTTTGCTCAATTTGAAGCAAAGATGATATACTATTATTCTGACAACAGCTGTGATTAGTGAAGTTAAAAGAGAGCTCATCAGAACTTACTATTCTAAAAATATGGTCCTTGCTGGGTGGCTCAGTTAGAGTGTCATCCCAGTACACCAGGGATGCAGGTTCGATCCCTGGTCAGGGCACATGCAAGAATCAACCAATGAATGCATAAATAAGTAGAACAACAAATCTATTTCTCTCTCTCTCTCTCTCTCTCTCTCTCTCTCAAATCAATCAATCAATAAAAATATTTGGAGCACAAGATAGCTTCTGTAACTCCATGCTCTCATTTATTCTATTTATTCCATTCTGTTTATTTATTTCATCAGAATTGGCTGTGGAAGTGGTACCTCCTGGAGTTGTGCAGTGCATAGCTTGCTGGCTGTGCACAGAGGCCCTGCCTTCCACTCCGTTCTTTCGTCCTTTTGTCTTCATTGAATGAACGCATTGTGAGTGGCCACCATGCCCAGGCCCAGTGCTGAATTTTGGAGAATACACTCCCTGCCTTAGAGATGCTACTGCTAGTGCATATACTGAAGACACCTCCTCAGAAGTTTCTGTTGCTACACATTTTGCCACACAGTTAATTTACTCTCAAATTTTTATTAGGGAAAAGGTCTTTTTTGTGTTCTTATACAACAGATTTATTCTTAAAATTGATATACTTAAAATGTGATTTAACTATAAAGGAGAGTATTCACTTAAAAACAAATCCTGTGATATATTCCTTTTTTTAAGTCAATATTTATATGTTCAATTTGTTTAAGGTGTAATCATGTACACACAACTATAAAATATTTTATTCACATGAAGAACCATTTAAAATCACACTATATGATGATGCTACATATGCACTAAGTATGACTTCTAAAATTGATTTTAATACCAATAATGGAAACTACCCCAAGCCACCCCCGACAAGAATGGCCTGACTTTTAGCTGGCCCTAAGCTAACATTATTCATGGAAGCTAAAGTGTGATGTTCGCTGGATGGAGAAATGACACATAAGCTTGTCAAACATGCTTGTCAGCCCTTCTAGAGTTACAGCTCCATTTAAACAACTAATCATCACCATCCTGAGTTTGTGTCTCCTTGTGGAAAATGCTCATATTTTGCCCATTGAGAAAGCAGAATTTGCTAAAAGAAAAGAAAAGCCAGAATCCATTTTCATTATTATGAAATAGTGAACTCCTGAAGCCTAGCACAGCTCCTGGCACATACCAGGTGCTCATTGAATGTTTACCTATTGAGTGAATGAATAAGGAGTCAATGATAAACAGTCTTCTGCCAGCCACTGTGCTCTCTGGGAAATGAGCCTCTGAAGAAGGTGATGAATATAGATGTCTGTGCAGAGGCTATGGTGTGGACTGAAGAAGCACTGGCTTGGAAAATGATTAAGAGCAAGGACTCAGAGCCCAACTGCCCCCCTCCTTGACTGTCTAATCTCTTTGTACCCAGTTTCCTGGTCTATATGAATCTGGCTAATGGTTTATCAATTTTGTTTATCCTTTCAAAGAACCAGCTCTTGGTTTCATTGATTTTTTTATTTTTTATTTTTTAGTCTCTATGTCATTTATTTCTGCTCTGATCTTCATTATTTCCTTCCTTCTACTTACTCTGGGCTTTTCTTGTTGTTCTCTTTCTAGTTCTTTAAGTTGTAGGGATATATAGTTTATTGCTGTGTTTCTTATTTTTTGAGGTATGCCTGTTGTGCTATGAACTTCCCTCCCAGGCCTGCTTTTGCTCTGTCCCAGAGATTTGGGGTTTTGTGTGTTCATTTTCATTTGTTTCCAGGAAGTTTTTGATTTCTTTCTTGATCTCGTTATAACCCATTCATTGTTTAAAAACATATTATTTAGCCTCCATGTGTTTGAATGCTTTTGGGTGTTTTTACTGTAGTTGATTTCTAATTTCATGCCACTGTGATCTGAGAAGATGCTTGATATGATGTCAATCTTCTTGAACTTGTAGAGACTTGTTTTGTGTCCTAACATGTGGTCTATCTTTGTGAATGACCCATGTGCACTTGAGAAGAATGTATATTCTGCAGCTTTGGGGTGAAATGTTCTATAAATGTCAATTAAATCCATGTGATCCAGTGTGTCCTTTAGAGTTTCTGTTTCCTTGTTAAGTTTTTGTCTGGAAGATCTATCCAGTGAAGTTAGAGGGGTGTTAAAGTCCCCTCCTATGACCATATTGTTGTTGATCTCTCCATTAAAGTCCTCTAGAAGTTTTTTTTTTTATATAGTTAGGTGTTTCTATATTGGGTGCATATATGTTTACCAGGGTTATATCCTCTTGTTGGATCAATCCCTTTAGTATTATGTAGTGACCTTTGTTGTCTCTTGTGATGGCCTTCATTTTAAAGTCTATTTTGTCAGATATTAGTATTGCTACTCCAGCTATTTTTTCTTTTCCATTTGCATAGAAATTTTTTTTCCATCCCTTCACTCTCATCCTGTGTGTGTCTTTTGTTTTGAGATGGGTGTCTTGTAGACAGCATATAGTTGGGTCATGTTTTTGTATCCATTCTGCTACCCTACATCTTTTGATTGGAGCATTTAGTGCATTTACATTTAGGGTTATTATTGAGAGGTACTTATTTATTGCCATTATATTTCTGAATGACTAGGTTTCTCTCTCTGTTTCTTCCTCTCATGACAGCAATCCCTTCAGCATGTCTTGTAATGCTGGCTTGGTGGTGATGTACTCCTTTAGCCTTTTTTAGTCTGGGAAGCTCTTCATTTGACTGTCTATTTTGAATGATAGCCTTGCTGGATATAGTAATCTTGGTCTCATATCCTTGTTTTCCATAACTTTGAGTACTTCATTCCATTCCCTTCTGGTCTATAGAGTTTCTGATGAGAAATCAGGTTTTAGCCTTATGGGAACACCTTTGTAGGTAAAAGTTTTATTTTCTCTTGCTGCCTTTAAGATTCTCTCTTTGTCTTTTATTTTTGTCATTTTAATTATGATGTGTCTGGGCATGGGCCTGTTTGGGTTCTTCTTGTTTGGGGTTCTCTGTGCCTCCTGAACTTGTGATACTTTTTCCTTTACCAGGTTAGGGAAATTTTCTGCCATTATTTCTTCAAACACCTTCTCTATGCCTTTTTTCCTTTCTGCCTCTTCTGTCACACCTGCTATTCAAATATTGTTTATGTTTCACATTGTCCCACAGCTCCCTTAAGCTGT